CATGGCCTAGGTCTGTGGCCCTTTTGTGTGAGCGCGGGCAGGATGACGCGTCCCCTCCGCACAGCTGCAAGCGCAGGAGGCCCCCGGCAGAGCCCTGCCTCCCGGGCCCGTCCTCCCGCCCTTTCGGGGGTGGGGCGCACCCCAGCGCCTGGCCGCGCCCGACCCCGCCGCAGGGGCTCTGAGTCCCGCGGGAGTGGAGATGGCAGGTGCCCGGAGCTCCTCTCTGCCCCCCCTCCTCCTGCTGCTCCTCCAGCTGTCCCCCGGAGACGCAGGTAGGACGTCCCCCTGAACAGGGAGCTGCGGCCCGGGCTGCCCCCTTCACCTTCTAGCTGCCACGCAGATGGTCTTTCTGCGGCGCGGGCGTGCTGACGGTGCTCCCGCCTCGGAAGGCGTGCGGGCGGCCTGCAGCCGTCAGAATAACCTTGAACTCATTCCACCTGTCTCCTTAGCGTGGGTTTCTCACCTGGCCAGTAGGGACGGAGTAACAGCCTCGGGTTGCTGCCAGGGCTCAGGGGGATGAGGTACGCAGCACACCTGGGTGAGGTCCCAGAGCACCGCCCCACAGGGTTGGCTGCGCTGCGGGAGTTTGCGGGCTGCGGGAGTTTGTTGGGCCGCCGGAGTGCTGGGCTGCGGGAGATTGCGGGCTGCAGGAGTTTGCTGGCTGCGGGAGATTACGGGCTGCGGGAGATTGCGGGCTGCTGGAGTTTGCGGGCTGCGGGAGTTTGTTGGGCCGCGGGAGTTTGCGGGCCCTGGAATCCTGTCGGGTCTGAGAGCTCTGTTCCGCAGGATCAGGCACAGAGCGTTTTGTTGGGGTGCCCGTGCTGCTGTGCTGGGGAGAAATTAAAGAAACAGAAGGCAGACTCCCAACTTCTAGGGGCACGCGGGGGAGGAGGTCTGGTCCTCGCAGTCCCCAGGGAGGTCTCGCAGGGAACAGAAACCGGCCTTGTCTTCTAGCAGCTGGAGTCTAACTTTCCGTGTCCCCAAAACCGGTGCGCGGACAGGGAGGTCCGGAGCTGGGGCGAGGCTGGGGGTGTGGAGGGAAAGAAGGAAAGGAGAGAACAGCGCCACCTCCAGGGCGCAAGGTCCCGGTGGAGAAGAGCTTGAGATCAGGGTGGGAACCAGGACCGAGGGCCGGGAAGCGGCGGAGGCCGCAGGAAGCCTCTCGCGCAGGCTGGTGCCGCCACGTCGGAACAGGGAGCCCCTGGAGCGCCAGACTGCGGGGCGCTCGGGACCTAGAGGCGGGGCCGAAGGGCCCGGGGGGGGCACCCCGAGGTGGGACCTAGAGGCGGGGCCGAAGGGCACGGGTGGACACAGTTGGCAGAGACCTGAGCAGCCACGGTCCGGATGACCACGTGCTAGGATGTTCTGTCCAGGGCACTCGAGGTATTTCTATAACCGGAGACCTTGTATTTTCCTAAATTTTCAAGACGAAGGAGGGAGCTCTGCCCCGGCTCTAGAATGCCACTTCGGGCGTTTATTCCACACGCCGCCGGCGCCGGGCATCTCCGCGGGGCCCGGTGGGCAGCGGCGCCGGCCAGGCCCGAGGCTCCCTCCGACCCTTTCTTTCCGCTGGTGTCTCGGACAGGACAGTTCAGAGTGATGGGCCCGGGGCAGCCCGTCTGGGCGCTGGTGGGACACGACGCGGAGCTGCCGTGCCGACTGTCCCCGGGGAGGAACGCCACGGGCATGGAGGTGGGGTGGTACCGGCCCCCCTTCTCGCGGGTGGTGCACCTCTACCGCGGCGGCCAGGACCAGGCCGAGGAGCAGGCGCCCGAGTACCGCGGCCGCACGGAGCTGCTGAAGGACGCCATGGCCGAGGGGAAGGTGGCCCTCAGGATCCGGAGCGTGAGGTTCTCCGACGAAGGGGGGTTCACCTGCTTCTTCCGGGACCACGCCCACCAGGAGGAGGCGGCGCTGGAGCTGAAGGTGGAGGGTGAGTGGGGCGGCGGAGCGGGCCCACGCGCTGGCGGCCAGCACCCCGAGGCCCGCGGCTCTCTCGCTTGAGATGAGCTCCTTCAGCCCAACACCCGTCCCCTCGGGATGGGTGCTGCGGGGCGCTGCAGAGGCACCGGTGTGCCCGGCGCAGAGCGGGGCCCAGGACCCAGGCGGCGCCCGCGAGGAGGGCGTGGCCCGGGGACGCTGGGCAGCCCTCGGACGCCGCTGCGGGGCCCCAGCAGGTGGCTGGGAGCCTTCCCAAGCTACCGCAGTAGGGAACAGAACCCAAACCCTGCCTGTGAATATATTATGTACAGCTCAGAGAAAACCATGAAGTGACCCATAAGAACGTTAATATGGCTCACTTTGGGCAGGAGAGAGGAGAATGGGGTGCGATCCAACCAAGGAGCATAAAAGAGAAGATCACAATTATCCGTAGGACTATTCGTATACAGTATATGGAATTGGTACGTTTGTGGTACATACAAAGAAAATGAAAGGGAAAAAAATGTAAAGAAACAAAAACCAAAATAGAAAAAAAAAAGATAAATGGAGGCAGCAAAATGCAAAACAATAAATTTCTGATTAGTTTGTGCTACTAGAAGGGCCTATGAGTAACCTGAATGTTAACCAGAGAATGGGTGCAAGCGGGCGCTTCCTTCTTGTTGCTGTGAATATCTCCTTGTTTATTTGTTATAAACAAGGGGATTATTCCTTAAGAGGCAAATGGACCAAATCCTATTACAATGAATTCCAAAGTTGGTGTGTTTGTGGTGTTTTATTAGATGAGAAACATTATTGAAAAATATATTCCTGGTAAACAGAGTTGAAGTGAGTAAATGGGTAGAACACATGTCTGATACGTCCCTGGTAGATTTCACCACCTCAGCTCCCTTTTTCCAGAATTTCATTCTCAGTGTTCTGTTTTTTTTTAAGGTTTTTGTTTTGAGTTTTTTTTAATACATGTTTATTGATTTCAGAGAGAGGAAGGGAGAGGGAGAGAGAGATAGAAACACCAATGATGAGAGAGTCATTGATTGGCTGCCTTCTGCATGCCCCCCCACTGGGGATTGAGCCCCCATCCCAGGCATGTGCCCTGACTTGGAATTGAACCCTGACCTCCTGGATCATAGGTTGATGCGCAACCCCTGAGCCATGCCAGCCGTGCTCTCAGTGTGTTTTGTATGATGGATGACTTTGCAATTTATTTTATTTTATTTTATTTCTTTATCCCAGGATGGTTAAGATGTGGACAAGGCGAAGTGGATGAAAGGGGAGCTTTGAAAGTTAATTACTTTTTTTTTAATTTATTGATTGATTTTTAGAGAGAGGGAGGGAGGGAGAACATGGATTCGTTGTTCCACTTATGAGTGCATTCATTGGTTGATTCTTGTATGTGCCTTGACTGGGATTGAGCACACCACCTTGGGGTCGCTGACAGTGCTCTAACCAACTGAGCCACCCAGCCAGGGCAAAGTTAATTGCTATTTAATTGAAGGACAAAAATGTTCTGAGGGCAGGAGCCTCAGTCCTTTCCCTTCCTACCCTTCCCTCCTCCCCACCTGCCAGCGAAACACCAGCCAAACCATCAGACAATAGACCAGTGCAGGCTGGGACCAGAAGAGGGCATTGTATGCAGGATGACAAAGCTCTTTCTAGAGCGGCTGCAGGGATATGAAAGTAGCTCTGTGTGTCAGTGTTCTTCATACAGCAGTTGTTCTGTGTGGTTTTTTGTTTGTGTTTTTTTGTGGAGGTGGGGTACATGCAAAGAAGTGTGATGCTGAGGGCCTCTCTAATTTGCAGATTTTCCTCCTTTCTGTTCAATAACTACCGAGTTCAACAACTGCCCCCAGGACACCCCACCCCCACCCACACACAGAAGTAACCTAACAACTAAAACTCTGCCTCAGGGAAGGCAGTTTTCCCTTGGATTGGTTTCCATGCTCCACCCTCTTCCTCCCATCTCGTAGTCTGCATGTCTAAGAGCCTATTATAGAAAATGTTTCACAGCCGACTAACTGAGGGATGGCCTCGCCCGGGGAGCTAGGAAGCCAAGGCAAATTTAGGACTAAGATGCAGCAACTGTACTATTGCAAGTTTCAGATCTATTACCTCCCCACCTTCTCCAAAGAGTTTTGTTGTCTCTCTGAACTTTATTTTTCTCATTACTTTTGTGATTTTATTAATAGTTGTCTCTAATCCTTTCTTTAAACTCATCATTATGAAACCTTAAAATATAACAGAGGCAGCGAGAACAATGATCAGCCTCCAAGTGCCCATCACTGCCTGCAACAGTTATGACCAAAAGACAAACTGCTTCACCTGACCCCGCTTGTTACCACCCTCCCAACTGAATTACTCAGGCATTTTCTAGGCTGCATTATCATTGCATTACCAAATCCTTAAGGATGTATCAGTCAAATATAAGAACACTTTAGGGGTGGGGGGAGGTAGAAGAGGGTAATGCGGGAGTAAACAGCGCTGGAAGGAGCCCTGGCTGGTAGCTCAACTGGCTGGAGCATCGTCCAGATATGCCAAGGCTGAGGGTTCGAACCCTGGTCAGGGAATGTACAAGGAGGGACCAATGAATGCGTAAATAAGTGGAACGAAAAATCAATGTTTCTCTCTCCCTTCCCCTCTCTCTAAAATCAATCAGTAGTTTTTTTAATGTTTTTATTTATTTTTAGAGAGAGGAAGGGAGAGGGATATAGAGAAACATTGAGGAGAGAGAAACATCATCACATCATCAATCGGCTGCCTCCTGCACGCCCCCTATTGGGGATCTAGCCTGCAACCTGGGCATGTGCTCTGACCTGGAATCAAATGGTGACTTCTTGGTTCATGGGTTGATGCTCAGCCACTGAGCCACGCCAGCTGGGCAAACAATAATTTTTGTAAAAATGGTGATGGAAGGAGACTTGACTTTGGGTGGTGAAGACACAATGCAATATACAGATTATTATAGAATTGTACACGTGAAACCTCTGTAATTTTATTAACCAGTGTCACCCCAATAAATTCAAGAAAAAAGTAAAATGAAGAAAAGAAGAAATAACACTTTAAAAAATTATAACCACAATCCTATAATCACATTTTTTACCCAGCCTGTGTTCAAATTTTCCTGATTGTTTCATAAGTGTATTTTCACAATTGGTTTGTTTGAGCTGAATCCAAACAAGATCCACACATTGGTGTTTGCCCTGTAGTGTTTTCCACGGTCTCTTGTGCTGAGTCCATTCCCATGTGTTTAACAGGGTGCTCCATACCCGGCACTTCCTGTTAGCTGATGGATTAGATAGATGTGCAGTCGCATTGGGGTTTGATTTATTTTGTCAAGCACACTTTCTGGTGATGCTACACACTTACTGCTTTACATCAGAAGGTTCATAATGTCTGCTCTTCTCTCCTTGGTATGCAAAGAAAGAGCTAAAGTATGCTTGATGGTCATGCTGCTACAGGTAACCAGGTAAGACCTTCAAAGTACACTTTGCTGCATTTTCGTCTACGATTGTATTCATACCTAAGAAACTCTTCTGATCCATTTATGAATTTTTTTAGATGAACTTTTTTATTATTGATTTTAGAGAGCAGAAGGGGGAGAGAGAGAGAAAGAGGGAGACACTGATTTGTTGTTCCACTTATTCATGCATCCATTGATTGCTTCTAGTATGTGCCCTGACCAGGGATTGAACCCGCAACCTTGGTGTATCAGGATGCGCTCTAGTGTATCAGGATGAACCAACCGAACTAGTGGGCCAGAGCCCTCCTGACCGGTTTAATGTTGTTTGCTGTGACTTAATTCCTAACTTTGATGGCAGTGTCTGTATCCAGCCCCCTAAAGCAGAGGACAAGAGGAGATGGGCTGGACTAAAGCATGAATGGGCAGAGCTGGGGGCACCACTGAGCTGACTCTAAAATGGGGAAGAGGCGGCAGCTGGAGAGCTGAATCTCTCCCTTTCCCTCCCCATTCCACATACGCTCAGTTACCAAATCCTGTGGATCTTCCTTTCTCAAAAGCCCCGGAAAAAGGATTCCTAACCCTTGTGTGTGCTTTGCACCCCTTCAGCAGACTGTGAAGGTGATGGACCCCTTCTCAGAAGGGTGTTTTAAATGTATAAAACACATTTGCACATTTGGTAACTATTTAAAATAGTTACCAAAATATTAAAATAACAAGGTATGGGATGGCCCAGATAACTAGTGTAATTTCAAAATAATGATGGACATAATGGTATTTTGAGATTTCTGCAACTCCATGTGATATGAAGATATTTGTGGTTTTTATTGATAACAAAGTCACAGGTTCTGCTCATATTATTGAAGTGTGCTGCTTACAAACATAATTGAAAGAAACACTGCATTTCAGTTTAAACCTTACTGAAAATAAATACGTGTTTTTTCCTGTTGAAGTTCACAAATCCCTGGAATCCCTCCACCTCCACCGTGGCCCCAGATGTTTTTACATCACTATGCCATAACCATGCTGGCCCATGACGAGATAACTCGCGTCTGCACTTACATTAATTTTAGTAATTTTAAACGCCTTGCTGACCTAAGTAGCTGGGCAACTTCTGGTTTGAAATAGCCAGTCAGCGAGGTGTTAATTGTCCTCCCTGGGTCCCCTCTACTCCTGCAGTCACTAAACCAGGTCTCAACCCTCCTTGGTGTGGAATTGAAAATGGACAACAATGGGTCTGGGCAGCCTGTCACCATTTGAGCCAATTAAGCAGAGGCAGGGTTGAATCCTATGAGCATTTATTCCAATATCGCTGGCAATATGGGAGAGCAGGGGATCATCCAGGGGTCTGCTCTGCCGCCCCCCATAAGCCAGCTTCTTACGTTGGGTAGAAGGACAAAGGTGACATGGGAAAGCAGGAATGACAGGCCTGGGGAGGTAGGCAAGGTGGGCTGGGGGTCGCCAAGGGCGGGCGCCTCCGGGACTCCATCGTTTTGGGAACAAGGTTGTTAATCTTCCCCTGAGGATGGGCAGTTCTCGGAAAAGGAGACTGGACCCCATTCCAAGGGTAATTCCCAGGCGCGGGCCTGCAGCTCCAGCCGGGTGAGAAGGCGCTTCCTCTGCGCAGAACGGAGCCGCCCCGTCGGGAGCGTGGT